CTGCAGAGAAGACAGCTTGGATGGAAATGAGCACCCAGCTGTGGTACTGGAGAATGTTTTAGCTCTCCTGCTTTAATCTTTCTGAGCATCATCTTCTCATTTTGTAGCTCTCTTCTCTGCCTCTCATTATGAGTTGGTCTCGCTTGATCAAAGTATCTTCTGGAGGCAGTCAGATCACCTGAGGTCAGAAATTCAAGACCAGCCTTGCTAACATGGTGAAATGCCATTTCTACTAAAAATTGGCGAGGCGGGTGGATCACCTGAGGTCAGGAGTTCAAGACAACCCTGTGTCCACTAAAAATACAAAAATTAGCCCGGCGTGGTGGCGCGTGCCTATAGTCCCAGCTACTTGGTAGGCTGAGGCAAGAGAACCACTTGCAGTGAGCTGAGATTGTGCTACTGCACTCCAGCCTGGGTGACAGAGCAAGACTCTATCTCAAAAAGTATATATGTGTATCTTTTGGCCTTTTTTTACATTTGTCCCTTCAGCAAACATCCCCCAAATGCCTCCTCTGTGCCCAGCCCTGTGTTGCAATGCAGGGGCACCAGGTACCCAAGAGCCCCAATCTACCCTCAAAGACAAGAGGATTAGACAGGTGATTTTAGCAGTCAGTACCGCCAGCACGGGGCTGAGGTGAGAGCATTGCTTGAGCCCAGGAGTTGGTGACCAGCCTGAGAGAATGGTTCTGAGGTTTATAGACATATCTATAAACTAAATCTATATCTGTAAACTAAATAGATAAGAAAGAGAAAAAAGTACCAGGCATGGTGGCTCATGCCTGTAATCCCAGCACTTTGGGAGGCCTAGGCAGGTGGATCAGCTGAGCTCAGGAGTTTGAGACCAGCCTGGCCAACATAGTGAAACCTTGTCTCTACTAAAAATGCAAAATTAGCCAGGCATGGTGGTGCATGCCTGTGTTCCCAGCTACTTGGGAGGCTGAAGCAGGAGAATAGCTTGAAACCAGAAGACAGGTTGCACAAGCCAAGATCGCGCCACTGCACTCCAGCTTGGGCAACAGAATGAGACTCCCTTTCAATAAAAAAGAGAAAAGAAAGCACTCAGTAGCTAAATACTGCTAGTGATGCTGACTAACACTTGCCGAGCTTTTTATGTGCCAGGCCAGGCTTAGTGCTTTTCAAACATCCCAACAGCTCTGGGGCGGGCCTGTTAATTTATTCCCTTTTCCAGAAGAGGGAACTGAGACGCAGAGAAGTGATGTCACTTCCCAGGAGCAGCCAGCCAGGAAGTGGTGATGCTGTGATTTAAACTCACCTCCCGAGCCTGTGGCTTCACTCCTGAGCTCTGCTGCCGCTCATATTCAACTTTATTGCCCTTGAGAGGAATTCTCTGACAAATACTGGGAGATAGATGGAGGTGGGAAAGGGAGGCGTTACGTATTGGGGGGATTAAGGATGTTCCCTGTGTTGCTGTGACACACACGTGTGCTCTCCGTATCTTTGGGTTTTTTCTTGTTTGGTTTTGAGACGGTCTCATTCTGTCTGCCAAGCTGGAGTGCAACAGCACAATCACGGCTCACTGTAGCCTTGACTTCCCAGGCTCAAGTGATCCTCCTGCTGTCCTTTTGTAGAGGTAGGATTTTGCTTGTTACCCAGGCTGGTCTTAAAACTCCTGGGCTCAAGTGATTCTCCCACCTCAGCCTCCCAGAGTACTGGGATTACAGGTGTGAGCCACTGTGCCTGGCCCTCCCCCCATATCTTTGTCTCTGCCTTTGTCTCTGTCCTCTGGATATAGGCAAGCACCGGAAGGGTGCAAGAGTTAGCAGGCCTGAGGTCAGTGTACACTCGGTGAGATGTGTGGCCTGCTCTGAGCTGTGAAAGGCACATCCTAGGGCCAGGCTTGGTGGCTCATGCCTGTAATCCCAGCACTTTGGGAGGCCGAGGCCGGCGGATCACGAAGTCAAGAGATGGAAACCATTCTGGCAAACTTGGTGAAACCTCGTCTCTACTAAAAATACAAAAATCAGCTGGGCATGGTGGTGCATGCTTGTAGGCCAGGCTGCTCAGAACCCGGGAGGCAGAAGTTGTAGTGAGCCGAGATTGCGCCACTGCATTCCAGTCTGGCAACAGAGGGAGACTCCATAACTAAAAAAGACAAGGAAGTGGGGAGGGAGGCACAGAGAGAGGGCCTGAGAGCATTGTGCCAGAGCTGGGACCCTGCAGCAATGAGAGCACTGATACGCAGAAGGCAATGGGTTGTGGGTTATAAAGGTGTATATTTACTATGTCTAATTGCAGAACATCTGTGGGGTGGATACTAAAGCTATCCCATTTTATAGATAAGATCGTTGAGGCCAAGAGAGGGTAAGCAACTTGCTCACGGTCACCAAGTTAGGAAATAATGGTGGTACTATTTCCAAACCCGGGGAGCTAGGTCCTCACGAACAGTCTTACCTCTTGGGTAGCGAGATGGAGCTCCAGTATCCTAACTTTATAGAAGGTTGGGGCAATGGTGCTGTCACAGGAGGTCACCTGGGGTTTGGTTCTGATACAGGAAGCAGCACAGCCCTGGAGTCCCAGTCCGGGTGCCGATCCTGCCTGCCTTCCCCAGTTGTTGACTTGTACTTACTGAGAAATAGAACTTGGTTTCCCCACCTTGCAGGCTGGCACCAAAGATTCCAGTCCTGGTAGCTCCGCTCACCTTGTCTACATTTCCTTCCTCAACTCCTGCCCCGCAGGCTTTCTATTGCTCCCGCCTTTAGAGGGTGAAACGAAAGCAGAGGCAGCAGGAATAGCCCTTTGCAAACTGGCCCAGCGTTGCCCACACACCAGCTCCAGGCAGGGTCCTAATTGTAACTCGTGGGTGTGTCAGGTGACCCTAGGATGCAGGTACCATCTGTTTGTATGCCTCGCAGAGATCACATGTAACATGGCCACTTGGGGACTCAGGCAGGAGGGACAGTGGCAGTGGGTGTCCCGTTTTCTTTTCTTTTTCTTTTTTTTTTTTTTTTTAAATACAGGGTTTCACCATGTTGGTCAGGCTGGTCTTGAACTCCCGACCTCAGGTGATCCACCCGCCTTGGCCTCCAAAGTGCTTGGATTACAGGCGTGAGCCACCACGCCCGGCCCATTTATGTAGTTTCTTTTTTTTTTTTTTTTTTTTTTTTTTTTTTAAATACAGGGTTTCACCATGTTGGTCAGGCTGGTCTTGAACTCCCGACCTCAGGTGATCCACCCGCCTTGGCCTCCAAAGTGCTTGGATTACAGGCGTGAGCCACCACGCCCGGCCGTCCCGTTTTCTTGTAGCAACACATGGATCAATTGGTGCAAAGCCGCCCTGGACCCCCACCCCACCAGGCAGCCTGCCTTGGTCATTTCCCTTTGTGACATGGCCAAGAAGATGCTTCTACCCAAGAAAGAAAAAAAGCTACTGTTTTTATACTTTATTTACAAGGGCAGTGTCCTAAGACATGTCCCCACCCCATGAGAATCCACAAGGTGGGGGGAAGGGGAAGGGGGCAGCAAGGCCACAAGCTTGAGGCTGAGTTCAGCTTTGGGGCACATATGTCCAGGGAAAATGCTCAGAAACACGCACACAGTAAGTTTGCGTATGTGTAGGGGGAGGATTTAGGGGTCAGGGTCTTGTGGGTGTATGTACAGGTGGTCCAGCCACAGTGAGACTGTCAGCATGCCCCCTCATTCTCGCAGGTCCCACGGGCCGCCGTTCTTAGGACAGTGGGGATATCCATCCTCACTCTGCAGCCAGCACTGACCCTGGCTACTTTGGGTATAAGGTTTCATCTGCAAGGCCTGCCTTGCGTCACCTATGCTCCTGTCCACACCAGATCCCCCTCTGTGGACCCAGTGTCTCTCACATTACTGTCTCCAGCTCACTCCTCTCCTGAGAGCCCCAGACCCTTACACTTGGTGTCCTGTCCTGCGGTATCCTACAAACATCACCAGTCTAACATTTCCAAAGAGCAACACATAGTTCTCCCCACCCCGAACCCAGTCTCCCTATCTTTCCTCTCTCCACCATCCCAAACCAACAAGTGCTCTGCTGCTGTGTCCTCACGTGATCCGTCATGAAACCCTCTCACCTCTACCTTTGAAACAGCTTCAAATCTGACTGCTTCATACCCTTCAGTGCCTCCATCCTGGTCCGGCCACCGTCACTTCCCACCTGCAGTCCCCCTCCTTGCTGGGCTCCAGTTTCCACCCCTGTCCCTGATAATCTGTCCCGCTATAGTGCAGACAAGAGGGCTCTGTTTAAAACAGCCCATTAGGGCCAGGCGCGGTGGCTCATGCCTATAATCCCAGCACTTTGGGAGGCCGAGGCGGGCAGATCACTTGAGGTCAGGAGTTTGAGACCAGCCTGGCTAACATGGGGAAACCCCGTCTCTACTGAAAATACAAAAATTAGCCAGGCGTGGTGGCGGGTGCTTGTAATCCCAGATACTAAGAGGCTTGAACATAGGAGGTGGGGGGCTGCAGTGAGCCAGGATCGCACCACTGTACTCCACACTGGGTGACAGAGTGAGACTCTGTCACAAAAGAAAAAAAGAAAAAAACATTATTTGGAGCCAGGCACAGTGGCTCACACCGGTAACCCCAGCACTTTCGGAGACCCATGTGGGTAACAGTGAGATCCTGTCTCATTTTAAAAAAATTAAGGCCAGGTGCAGTGGCTCACACCTGTAATCCCAGCACTTTGGGAGGCTGAGGTGGGTGGATCATGAGGTCAGGAGTTCGAGACCAAGCCTGGACAGCATGGTGAAATCCCGTCTCTACTAAAACATTAGTTGGGCGTGGTGGTGTGTGCCAGTAATCCCAGCTACTTGGCAGGCTGAGCAGGAGAGTTTCTTGAACCCGGAAGGTGGAGGTTGCAGTGAGCTAATATTGGGTCATCGCACTCCAGCCTGGGTGAAGGGGCGAGACTCTGTCTCAGACAAAATAATAATTAAAATAAAAGCCCGGGCACGGTGGCTCACGCCTATAATCCTAGCACTTTGGGAGGCCAAGGTGGGTGGATCACCTGAGGTCAGGCGTTCAAGACCAGCCTGGCTATCAGGGTGAAACCGCATCTTAAAAAATAAATAAATAAAATAAAATATTACCTCCAAGAGACACTCCTAAGAATCTCCAATGCATCTGAAATAAAATCCCAACTTGTGTGTCCCTGCCCACTTCTCTCTCCCCATCTGTTGGCTCTGACTTAATTCTACTCCAGCCAAGGCCGAGCACCTTCCTGCCCCAGAGCCTTCGCATATGCTGTTGCTTCACCCTAGAATCCTGTTCTCCAGCTCTTCCCAAAGTGATCTCCTTCACCTCTTTCTGGTATGGCTTAAATGTCACCTCCTTGGAGAGGGCCTCCCAGATCCCTCTAGGCCCCCTTCTCACTTCCCTTCATAACCATGCCACAGCATGTGTGGAACTTGGTGTTTTGTGTTCACGGTGTTTTCCCCATTCAGTTGTCATCTCCAGGAGGGCAGGGACCTTTTTTCCGTTTCCTTCACCGTTTCCCCAGCGTCCTCCATACTGGGCCTGGCACACGGTAGGAACTCAATCAATCCATGCTAACCGAACAGATATAGGGATCCGGCCCCCTAGCAGTAACTTTCTAACACCCTGCTGGCCTCATTCCTGGGCCCTGGGAGGGTCCCCGAGGACAAGGCGCGGCCGGTAGGGACCTCGACGGGGCCGGAGCTGGAGCGCAGGGCCCGGGAGACGCACTCCGGGAGGTGGCGCTGCTCCTCGCCCAGGCTGCGTCGCAGGCGGCAGTGGTGCCAGCCACGGCGGATCTCCGACTGCACCTGCGACATGGTGGCGCTCAGAGGCGGCGCCATACCCCGCGCGGCCGCCAGAGGGCGCGGGAGGCGATCGGGGCTCTTCCTACCTCCTTGTTGATGAAGCAGTAGAGGACGCTGACCAGGAAGCCCTGTCAGAGGAGGCGCGGGTGTGGGGGGTGTTACATCTCTGGTGGGAGCAGGACTGTAACCGCCTCCGCCCCACTCCGTTTTTGTTTTTGTTTTTTTTTAAGAGTCGGAATCTGGCTCTTGTTACCCAGGCTGCAGTGCAGTGGCGTGATCTCGGCACACTGCAACTTCTTCCTCCTGGGTTCAAGTTATTCTCTTGCCTCATCCTCCTGAGTAGCTGGGATTACAGGCGCCCGCCACCACGCCCGGCTAATTTTTTTTTTTTTTTTTTTTTTTAGTAGACAGCATTTCACCATATTGGTCAGGCTGGTCTCGAACCCCAATCTCAGGTGGTCTGCCTGCCTCGGCCTCCCAAAGTGCTGGGATTACAGGCGTGAGCCACCGTGCCTGGCCTATATGCCTATCTGTAGTGTGTTTAGTGTGTGTCTCTCCCACGGGAGGTAGGGTTCTTGGCTGTATTCCTGTGATAAGCCTGTAAGAGTGCTTAGTATATATACATGCTCAGTAATTTTTTGCTGAATTTAATGAATGAACAGCTTTGTTCAGTGAGACTGTTATTGTCCACACTTTAGAGATGAGAAAACTGAGGTCGAATTAGGTAAAGCAGGTTGGGGACTCAGGTAAGCCAAGCAAGTGCAGAGTGGGCCTTCAATTTTGGAATAAATCTTTCCTTAGATTCTGCACAATGGCACCTCACCTCTCTCTCGCCTCAACCCCAAGTTGAAGGCCGCACAGCTGGCAAATAGCTAGAAAGTGACAGAACCTGAATTTGATCCCAGCTGTGTCCAACCTCGAAGCCCTCACTCTTCATTAGGAGGCAGCACTGCTGGGGCCGTCAGTCTCCTGTCCCGGTCCCTGCTTCCCATAGCCAGAACAGCGCTAGCACAGTATTTTGTGTTGAATGAATGAATGGGCCAAGCACAGTGCCTCATGCCTGTAATCTCAGCACTTTGGGAGGCTGAGGCAGGTGGATCACCTGAGGTCAGGAGTTGAAGACTAGCCTGGCCAACATGGTGAAACCTGGTCTCTACTAAAAACACAAAAATAGCCTGATGTGGTGGTAGATGCCTGTAATCCTAGCTATCGGGAGGCTGAGGTAGGAGAATCGCTTGAACCTAGGAAGTAGAGGTTGCAGTGAGCCGAGATCGTGCCACTGCACCAGAGTGACAGAGCAACAAAGACTCTGTCTCAAAAAAGAAAAAGAAAAAAAAAAAAAAAAAAAAAAAAGGCGCAGTGGCTCATGCCTGTAATCCCGCACTTTTTGGGAGGCTGAGGCAGGTGGATCACCTGAGGTCGGGAGTTTGAGGCCAGTCTGACCAACATGGAGAAACCCCGTCTCTACTAAAAATACAAAATTAGCAAGGCGTGGTGGTGCATGCCTGTAATCCCAGTTACTCGGGAGGTTGAGGCAGGAGAATCGCTTGAACCCCAGAGGCGGAGGTTGCAGTGAGCCGAGATTGCACCATTGCACTGCAGCCCGGGCGACAAGAGCGAAACTCCATCTCAAAAAAAAAAAAAGAATGAATGAACGAACTGAATCCCATCTTCACACCCCATTCAGTGGCTGCATCTGAAAACGACTGCAGTTCTCGAGCCCTTCTGGGGAGGAGGCCTTGGGTGGAGTCTCTATACCCCGCCTGAGCACCTGGAAGGAGCTGAGGAAGATCTCAAAGCCGAGCTTGGCGAAGCGCAGGGCTCCCCGGGCCTGTTCCTCGGTCACGGGAGCAAACACCACCTCGTGGACACCCAGCAGGGGCACCAGCGTTAGCGTGGAGCGAGCCAGCCTGGGGAGAGAGGCAGCAGTGATCCCGCACGCAGTCTTGGTTCCCCATCTCGTACCCGGCCCCTTCCCCTCGGTCCCCACCGCACACCCTCACCTCAGCCGGTAATCCCGGCAGCGCATTTGCCGTGTCCTCAGCTTGGACAGGAGAATGCCAAGAATGCGGATAAAAATGAGGAAATTAATCTGTGGGGAGAGATAGGGGCTGAGCCAGCCGCGATCCCGTTCTGGAGGGGCAGGAGGTGGCACCCCACTTCCCAGAATGGGAAATCCCTGAGGACAGCCTGGTGGAGGCGGGACCGATCCTACCAAAATGGTCATGAGGATGGGGGTCCGTATGATCCACCAAATGGCCTTGACTTCGTTGCGCTCCCAGCACCTGGAGAAGGCGGGGTAGAGCTAAGAGAAAAACCTCTGGACTCACCGGATCACCAAGCTCATTTGCTCGCTAGGCCCCGCCCACCCCACTTGAGACCCCCCCCCCACACACACACACACTCCCCCTAGGGTCCCGCCCATTATGATCCAGGTCCCACCCCCTCCCCTCCCCTTGCCGGTCGCCCTCGAACACAGCCTTTCCTAGCTCCCCATTCCTTTGGACCCCCGCCCACGTCCCCCCTGCACCGAATAGCCTTCTGACCCTGCCTACGTTTCCATCACAACCCCGCCTACATCCCTCGATGCCCCGCCCAACTCCCAGGCCCCGCCCCCGCCCCTGCAACTCACTGCGTGTTCTCGTACAGGTACCTGACGATCACCCAGGGAATGACGAAAAGCGCGGGGGCCCCTGTGCAGACCCCGATCCCGCCCCCCCACCCCGCCGCAGCTGTCAGCGCGCGTACGGGCCCCGCCAGGCCCAAGACCCGCGGAATTTCTGTTGGGGGTTGGGGAGGCAGAAGCCTACAGGTGGGAGGAGACCCCCAGAGGCCAACCAGCTGGGCAGTTGGGGGAGCCGAGGAGTGGCGCGCTGGGTTGGGCGGGGGACGAGGTCGGGGCTCACCCCAGCCGAGGAGCAGGTAGCAGCGGAAGTGGCCCTCCTCGGAGCCGCCCACGAGCACCAGGAGACTGTGCAGGTAGACGCCCTCCACCAGCAGCCACGTGTAGTTGGCACCCACGCAGTACTGCGTCACGATCTGGGCCGTGCGGCAGGCAGCGAGGGCCTAGTAAGCGGCCAGACCAGTAGACGGGTAGTCAGCGCTGCCTGGGTGTCTCCCCCAACCTTGATCGCCCTCCACCCCATCTCTTGCCATCAAAGGTTTTTCCACTCTGCGTCCCCAGTGTATGGTATCTGTGATTAGTTTCTCTCACCCTACATGGACTCTCCCACTCTGAACTCCTTAACAACTGGTATCTGGCCGGGCACGGTGGCTCACGTCTGTAATCACAGCACTAGGAGGCCAAGGCGGGCAGATCATCTGAAGGCAGGAGGTCAAGACCAGCCTGGCCAACATGGTGAAACCCCGTCTCTACTAAAAATACAAAAATTAGCTGGGCGTTGGCCAGATGCGGTGACTCACACCTGTCACCCAGCACTTTGAGAGGCAGAGGCAGGCGGATCACCTAAGGTTAAGAGTTCAAGAGCAGCGTGGCCAATACAGTGAAACCCTGTCTCTACTAAAAATACAAAAAAATTAGCTGGGTTTAAACCTCAACCTCCCCGGTTTAAACAATTCTCCTGTCTCAGCCTCCTGAGTAGCTGGGGCTACATGTGGATACCACATGCCTGGCTAATTTTTCTATTTTTAGTAGAGATGGGGTTTCACCATGTTGGTCAGGCTGATCTCGAACTCCTGACCTCATGATCTACCTGTCTCGGCCTCCTAAAGTGCTGGGATTACAGTCACCATGCCCGGCCCTTGTTTTTTTTTTTTTTTTTTTTTTTTTTTCTCGGCCTTCTTTTTTTTTTTTTTTTTTTTTTTTTTTGAGACAGGCTCTCAATCTTTTGCTGGATTGCACTGACACCATCACAGCATCACAGCTCACTGCAGCCTTGACCTCCTGGACTCAAGTGATCCTCCTTTCTCCGTCTCTCAAGTAGCTGAGACTACAGGTGGGGGCTGCTATGCCCTGCTAATTTTTGTATTTCTTTTGTAGAGATGGGGTTTAGCTATGCTGCCCAGTCTGGTCTTGAACTCCTGGACAAAAAGCGACCCGCCCATCTCAACCTTCCAAAGTTCTGGGATTACAGGTGTGAGCCACCCCCTGGCCATGATATGGCTTATTTTTTTGTTTTTTGAGACGGAGTCTCCCACTGTGGCTGGGGCTGGGGTGAGTGCAGTGGCACAGTCTCGGCTCCCTGCAACCTCCACCTCCTGGGTTCAAGCAATTCTCTTGCCTCAGCCTCCCGAGTAGCTGGGATTACAGACATGTGCCACCATGCCCAGCTAATTTTTTGTATTTTTAGTAGAGACGGTTTCATTATGATGGCCAGGCTGGTCTCCAACTCCTGACCTCAAATGATCCACCCACCTTGGCCTTCCAAAGTACTGGGATTGCAGGCATGAGCCACTGCCTGGCCACACTATGGCTTCTTAACAATTGGTATGGTCCAGCTTGCGACCAGAGAGTTCTCCCCACGTCTGCTCCCAGCCTCGAGTCTCTCCCACCCTGTCTCCTAGTAACAAACTGGCACCTGCCACATCCCTCACCTCCAGGAGGTGGATCCTCTCATTGGTGAAAAAGTCCAATGATAGGTGAGATAATGAGGTAGAGGAATGGAAAATTCCAACGGAGGGGTGATAGACAGAGATTTCAGTGATGATGGAGGCTGAGTTGGGAGGGTCCCTCTCCAAATATGTCTTGGGAGGAGGGATTAAGACACACGTCGAGAGGGATCCTCCCAACTCTGATAAACTGTTGAGAGTGTAGGAGGTAGGAAATAGACTGAGAACTTCCTGGTCCCACCAGGGAAGCCAGATTCCCATGTGGAGGAACGGAAGGAGGATACCCACCTGGTTCCACAGTGCAGGGGCCTGGTCCCCAGGGTAGGGGCCAGGTTGAGGCAGTAGACGATCTCGGCTGAGAATGGCCGCTGCTCGCAGCATGGAAGACGCAAACAGGTTGATGTGGATATAGTTTCTAGTGCAATGCAGCCGCCTAGGGGATTTGGAAGGTAGTTTGGGGGCCCCTGGAGGGCTGTATTCAGCCACACAGAGCTCTATTTTATTTTTTTGAAACAGGGTCTCACTCTGTCACCCAGGCTGGAGTGCAGTGGCACAATCAGGGCTCATTGCAGCCTCAACCTCCTGGGCTCAAGCCATCCTCCCATCTCAGCACCCCGCTGTAGCTGGGACCACAAGTGCACCACCACCATGGCCAGCTAACTTTTTATTTTTCGTAGAGACAGAGTTTCACTATGTTGCCCAGGCTGCTCTCAAACTCCTGGGCTCAAGCGATCCTCCTGCCTTGGCCTCCCACAGTACTGGGATTACAGGCGTCAGCCACCGTGCCCGGCCACACAGAAGTCCTTTAGCCACCCCCACTGTACTCTTCATAGAGCCACCAGTGCCTGCTTGGAGCTGGTGGAACCTGATCACCCCGTCTTACTAGACAAACTGACCCACTTCTCAGTGGGTCTCTGAGTGGTCTCTGCCACCACCTCTCAGGGTTAAGGTCCCACCTGAACAAAATCAAGATGAGCAGGGCTAGCAGCAGTGTGGCGAGAGACAGGGAATAGCCAACGGTGTACATGGCCTGCAGCCGCTCCAAGATGAGCCTTTGGTCCTGGTAGGGGCAAGAAGTGGAGAAGAACAAGGCTTGGCCCTTCCCCCAGGTCCAGAGAGAGACTGGAAAGACCTTGGCTCTTTGTTTCTGCCCAGACACCCTATTTTCTCTTGAGGAACTGCTGACTCTTATTTGAGAAGGGCTGAATCCAAGCTACTCAGCCTGACCTCAAATGGTCCGCCCACCATGGCCTCCCAAAGTGCTGGGATTACAGGCGTGAGCCTCTGCACCCAGTCAAACTAGGGAAAGAAAAATTAAGTAGAAATTTAAAAGTTGAACGACTGCCTGAATTCTTTCTTTCCTTCCTTCCTTCCTTCCTTCCTCTCTTTCTTTCTCTTTCTTCCTTTCTTTCTTTTCTTTCTTTCTTTTTTTTTTTTGAGGCAGAGTCTCACTCTATCACCCAGATAGGAGTGCAGAGATGGGATTAGGACTTATTGCAGTCTCTACTTCTCAGGCTTAAGTGATCCTCTCGCTTCAGTTTTTGATTTTTTTCTAGAGATGAGGTTTCGCTATGTTGTGTAGACTGGTCTGGAACTCCTGGGCTCAAGCGATCCTCTTGCCTTGACTTCCTGAAATGCTGGGATTCCAGTTGTGAGCCACAGCACCTGGCCATCGCATTCTTTTCCATCACAGAAGCCAATACATCTTTCTCTCTCTCTTTGAAGCAAGTCTGAGTTGAGTTTCTGTCGCTTGCAACCTAGAGTTCTAAACAGTCCAAGGGATTTCAGGCCCTGCCTTAACTACTGCCTTTCCATCCCTCCCTGGACTCCTAACCTGAAGCCCTCACCTCCTCTTACCAGAAAGGCCTCATTCTTCTCTGGGTTCTCACATTGTGTATGATCTCTCCAAAGTCCCCACTGGCCATCACTGCCACACTGGCGGAGGACAAAACCTTCAGCCACTGTGGGGAAATAAGAGAGGGGATTAAGGCCCACAGAGAGAAATACAGAAAAACAAACTGTGAGGCAATAGCAGAGAGGGGGAGAGCCGAAATGATGATGATGATGGTGATGATGATGATAAATCGACCCTTATATGGCATGTTATATGTATTAATTTGATATTCACACAAGCCCATAAAATTGATAATATCCTTAACCCAGTTTTACACTCAGGAGAATTGAGATACAAAAAGTTAAGCCTGGGCATAGTGGCTCACGCCTGTAATCCCAGCACTTTGGGAAGTCGAGGTGGGCGGATCACAAGGTCAAGAGATTGAGACCATCCTGGCCAACATGGTGAAACCCTGTCTCTACTAAAAACACAAAAATTAGCTGGGCGTGGTGGCACATGCCTGTAGTCCCAGCTACTTGGGAGGCTGAGGCAGGAGAATCGCTTGAACCTGGGAGGTGGAGGTTGCGGTGAGCCGAGGTTGCACCACTGTACTCCAGCCTGGCAACAAAG